CTCCCAGGTTCTTCTTTTCTTGTCGTTAATGGACGATACGCGCGATCCGCCTTAGTCGCTTCTTGCTTATAAATTAATTGCTTTATTTTATTGCGTAAATGATGGCCCTTCTGCTCACACACACTTTATGTACTCCAAGAACTCTTAAAAACGATACATCATCCGCAATTCTTTCTACTCAGTCAGCGATGACGTTTCACGTTAAGATCAAAATGAAGTTTGAGTGCGTTTCTGAATATTGAGATATAAATATGGTGAGCAGTGGGACACGACACTTTAATTCGTGATTAATAGCTCGTTTGGAGATTAAGAACGCGGCGCGACTATAAATCTTAATACGAAATGAAATGAACGATTGAGGTTTTAATTAGAGATGTTAATAATTTTCAGTAGAACGAGTCGATCGTAATCACCTTTTTTCGCTTGAGTGAAAGCACTTAGTTTGTAATTGCGAGTAAGTGTTGTAATTATGGGATTATTAGCAAAACATCACTTCATAATAAGTCGTATGTGCGTATAGAAAATTATGTATAGGAATTATAACAGAATATCCATTTATAATTGAATGCCACCTCATTAATCTAATGGATCTTCTGGATAATACAAACATATTAAAAGATTATTTAGACATTCTGCATTATTTTCTATGTAATCTTATATGTTAAATAAATCTTAGATTTGTTTCCTATATAAGAAATGAAAGCGATGTACCTACATAGTTGATGCCACATCATCAATCTGATTTTTTAATTATCTTGGTTACATTGATCTTTAAGATTAATAGAAACATTGGGAACTATTTGGCTTTTTTAATATCGATGAAAAAAGTTTTAACGATTAATAACTTAATTCATTCATGGATTCATAGTAGGTGGGTTGGATTTCATATTTGCATTATAGCATTACAAGTTCAGAAAATGTGTAAGCTACCAAGATGTCGACAATTTGATTTGGTTAACTCTCAGATTTGAATTTGTAATCTATTCGATTGCTGTTTATGTTTGGAAATGAATTAGTGTTAATATTTATGTCTCAAATTGAAGATTAAAGCTTCTACTTGAAGATGGTATATGATATGTAGAGTATTTCATTAAAAAAAATTGAGAAAAAAGTATTTGAAAAAATATTGCTGAAATTAGATTGTTTGAAATTGTCGAAAAAAGTAAACATTTCAAAACAGCAATCCGACCGTATTTTTGGGACTTAGAAGATTGTTTATGTCTCAAATTGAAGATTAAAGCTTCTACTTTAAGATGATGTATGATATGTAGGGTATTTCATTAGAAAAAATTTTAGAAAAAAGTGTTGGAAGAAATATTGAAATTAGGTTCAGTTTAAAATTGTCAAAACAGTCAAAATTTCATAATATCACTCCAAGCGTATTTTTGAGACTTAGAAGATGGTTTATGTCTCAAATTGAAGATTAAAGCTTCAAGTTTAAGATGGTTTATGATAATTGGAGTGTTTCATTAGAAAATTTTTTTGAAAAAAGTGTTATATGAAATGTTGTTAAAATTAGGTTCAGTTTAAAATTGTAAAAAAGTAAAAATTTCATAAAATCACGCCGACCGTATTTTTGAGACTTAGAAGATGGTTTATGTCTCAAATTAAAGATTAAAGCTTCTACTTTAAGATGGTATATGATATGTAGGTTATTTCATTAAAAAAATTTGTAGAAAAAAGTGTGTAAAGAAATGTTGAAATTAGGTTCAGTTTAAAATTGTCAAAAAAGTCAAAATTTCATAAAATCATTTCAAGCGTATTTTTAAGACTTAGAAAATGGTTTATGTCTCAAATTGAAGATTAAAGCTTCTACTTTAAGATGGTATATGATATGTAGAGTGCTTGATTATAATAATTTTTAGAAAAAAGGTTTTGAATAAATGCTGTTACGTTTAGGTTGTGTTTGATATTGTTAAAATATCATAAAATTAATCCGAGCTGAGTGTTCACCCCATACATTGGTTTTACAACGTGCACAAGTTGTTCTTGTTTTTCTGTCTTTTGAAGAACTGGTAGATGATTCAGCTTCTTCTTTTGCTTCTAGTTTTTCGTGGTCCTTGTATTCTGCTAGCTCCTTCCATAGCTCATTTAAAAATTTTTCTCCTCTTTTTCAAATCAAAAACTGAATTAGCTTTCAAGAGCTTGCATAGTATATATGCGTTCATGGCGCTGATGAGACAAGAGGCAAGACAAGAGGCCATTTCCTCGTCATCCTTTTCACGGTGTATGATTGTGTCATTTTGTCCATGTAGTCCACACCACCCTTTATTTTATTGTAGTCAAGAATTACTTGAGGTTTCCTTTTTTGGCCATTATCAACATTTTTATCACTGTGCTGAGTATTCAGCAACATCGTCTGTAAAATGAAACTATGTGGAAAACACTTGATGATTTTTGGATGAAGATGGCAATTCGGGCTTATTTTTACGGATCGTACCAGCTAATGTTAGGTTTTTTGATAACAAATACTTTGCAAGATTGTACGAAGTAAAGAAATTGTCGCAGGTCATCTTCCTTCCCGAGTGTTCAATTTCTTCTGCTAAATGTTTTACAACCCTTTCACCTTGATTCTTGTCTCTTTCCTTACCTTGTTTGCCAGGATAAATTTCCAGTTTCCATGCATAGGTTGTTACTCTATTACAAATGGTCCAAAATTTTATTCCATATCGTCCAAGTTTTGATAGAATATATTGCCTAAAAGGGCATCTGTCTCTAAAAGTGACAAGCTGTTCATCAACCGTCATACACCAATTTGCCAATTTACACCAATCTCCTTTTTCTTCACCTTTCCGCTACATCGTCGAATCTATGTACACGAAGTATATTTTGAAATCTATTTCGAGCAATAATAGTACAAAAGATTTTTCTACCATTGTTGTTGCTCCAAAGTTGTGTTACATCCTCGTTATGGGATTTGTATACACCTATTAGTATCAAAACTCCAATAAATTTCTTCAATTCTTGCACATCCATTTTTATCAAATTTTTGCCGAAAACCACCTTTCTTTCTTTATTCGTCCACTTTAGGATAATTTCAAGAAGAGGTTTACGAAAATAAATCAAAAAAGAAGAAGCAAGTGTATCGATCTCGTGATTTGCAAACCTTGTTGGATCTGACTAAAATATGATTTTGGTACAAAACAACTTGTTTGTTCTGGGATATAAAAGAATTAGCCCCAGCCGGATTTGTGTTGTGGTCATCATCGCTGCTCTCAGCAGATTCTTGATTATCTGATTCTTCTGCTGTGCTTGTATCACCCCCATCGACGAGGCTGTCGTCTGAAGCTTTATATCCGCTATTATATTCATATTCGCTTATTTCTACGATCTATTTTCCGTAATGACTAAAACGCAAAGTATGTAGAAAATAGCCTCAATAAGAGATATAGAAATAACTGCCTGACAATTGATAAAAAATTATGCTAAAATGTCAAATCACGCACCACAACTGAACAAAATATAAATTTTGTCTTATTCATAGTAACAAAGTAACACTACACGGATTCGATTCGGAAGTACTAATTCATTGAAGAATTAGAAAACGATTTATGTATCAAATTGTAGATCAAAACAACTATTTTAAGATTATATGTGATATATAACAACGACGGCCAAACTGTGGCTCGCGGCTCTTCGATGATGTTATTGCGGCTCAACTAACAATTTAAATAATAATAAACCTTCTTCGAAGAAAAAAAAATGCCCGAACATTTGCAGAGCAAACACCATTACTTGTGGCGAATAGAGAAACTATAAACTTCACTAAACGAGAAAAAATGAAAAATCTACGTCTTATACAGATTTCGGGGAAGAACCTTTTTTCCTTTTTTACACTAAACTCTTGCGGCTTCCAATATTTTTAGGTAGGTAACTACGGCTAATATTACAAAAAGTCTGGCCAGTCCTGATATACAGCGTGTCCCGTATCTTCCGCATCAGAGCATTATACGGTTGTAGAATACATTATTCTGAAGCGATCTTTCTAATAAAATTTTTTCGAAATGTTTATAATAACCGCACGGGAACTGTTTAACGACGACCAATAACGGACAACTTTGATTCATCGAAAAAGTTTATTTCTCTTTCCATGACGAATTTATTGGTGAGTACACGTGGGAAACGAGTTATCATCGGCGTAGCGGACCGGCCGAGGGTGGCACCGATTACCTGAGTCTGATTTGCGATCTGCTGATTGGACGAAAAACAGTTCCTTTAAACAGTTCCCGTGCGGTTATTATACACATTTCGAAAAAAATTTTATTAGAAAGATCGCTCTGATGCGGAAGATACGGGACACGCTGTATAGAGTATTTCATTAAAAAAAATTTTAGAAAAATATATTTAAAGAAATGTTATTAAAATTTCCCCAACGCTTGACTTCATTGACACATATCAAACAACTTTGAACAAAATTTACATAATTAATATCAAAGGATTCCCCTAGAACTTCCCAGTAACATAATATTTAAAAATAAAACCGTATCATGACATTGCAAAAATAATAAAATTGATTGGTAAATATTGTATAAATATGTAGACTCATAGATTTACAAACCTTATTAATAATCAATTTCCACCTTATTACACTTAATCATTTCTCAAACGTTAATTCCAATCGTTTGAGTCAATTTCCGCGAATAAATTCCGTCTAGAAATTCCGCGATAAGTTTCGATAACCGCCCAGATTAAGGAATTCGAATCGTATCCTTAATAAATCCGATTGAAAATTACGAAATAGGCACTCGACTCGAAGTAAAACCCCGCCCCCTTCCGGTGAGGACAAGTACCTGGCGCCCCGCTTTCAGGGCGGGCGGCGCCTAAATTACGCCTGAAACTTGGAAAAGCCCCTCAATTACGATTCGATTTATCTAATTTGTCGAAACCATTCTATGTATTTTATTTGTATTTTTTTTACATTCCTTATCCGTGTCGATATATAAACGATGAACTTGATACCTGAGTAAGGTAGTTTATCGTGGATTCGTTTCCCGTTTCAGGTTGGTTGTCATCGTGGAGTTTGGTGGAGAATTTGGTACGGTGTCCACAGGGTGAATACGGATTGGACGATTCATGTGCTTTTTGGACCGGGGAAGGTACGAGGGTCTCCTTTAAACCCTCGACAAGTTAATCACCAGCCGGCCATTGGCTACTATGCAAATAGTACATTTTGTAGCTGCTCTGTCCGCGGTATGTATTAAAAATAATTATTTAACATATAACATTTTTTTTAAACACTAAAACTAGTCATCATTGACCAACCATTAGTTTATCTATATTAAATTCTTAAAAACTAAACACTAAAGTGAGTAATCTTCTAGTTTTTCACTATTTACTAATTTACTTTAATCTTCGTTGGACGTTTTCATTTTCAAAGAGAAGAGACACATTCGGATTATGTGGTTGTCAACTTTAGATTTATGTTTTTGTGCAAACCGCTTTATTTCGCTATATACATCAGTGATCACAAGATCCTTAAGAATATCTGTTTTCCTAACATACCATGGCGCATTCACGATGTTTCTCAAGATTTTATTTTGGAATCTTTTTATGGTTTCAATGTGGCATTTTTTGGCGCATCCCCTTAGTTGTATCCCGTACAGACATACCGGTTTGAAGATATGGTTGTACATATTAATATTTTATTGTCTATTGACATAACTTTGATTGTCTTCCAATTAACCAGCTATATTGTCTGTTTCTTATTCGCAGTTCTTCCAGTTTTATCTTTATATGTACCTCCCAGGTGATCCAGTTTTTTATCTAGGTGTATACCGAGATATTTTGTTGAGTTGTGAATGTTACCACCAATCACAACTCAATCAACTAATTTTTTGTTAGTAAAGTTAATATGAACGTTCATTAATTTTAATTTTCAATTTTCCCATTTTGCAGTTTGTTTGTGGCCTCTTGAGTATTATCACTCACTGTCATCATGGCTGTATCACCAGCGAATGTTACTATTGATATACCATTATCTTCTGGCAGAGCGTTTGTGTATACCAGTAATGCAAGTACACTACCTTGTGGAACACCAGCTGTTATCTGTTTTAAATCAGTAAATTCGTATTCTGTAATATAAGATTCTAGAACATCCACATACTGTTTTGGCAATAATTTACTAATTTTATGTATTAGGCCTTTAGACCATACATTATCGAATGCTTGGGCTACATCAACAAATATAGCAAAGCAAATTTGTTTATCAGATCAAATATTCTGTGTACTTGATCAATTGTACGATATTTTTCTCTAAAATTGATACTCAGGAATAAGTTGGTTTTGTTCTATTAATGGTGTAAGTCTTTTGAGGAACAGTTTTTCAAAAAGTTTTGAGATTACTGGAAGCAACGAGATTGTTCTGTATGAAGCCACATCATATGGTGATTTTTTTGGCTTAGATATCATAATTACCTCTGCAATTCTAATGCATTTATTAAATACGTTTGTTTTAAGATTGATTTTCTAGGTAGGTTTTTTAAGATTTCTCCTGTAATCAAGTCAAAAGCTGGTGTTTTCTTTGCACTTATATTCTTCCTAATTTCTTTAGCAACTTCATTTGGCGGTACATGTTTTATACGTTAGTATTAACATATTCTTTGATCTCTTCACAATCGGAGCTTACATCATTTGGCTGGAAAGTTTTTTCTAGATGGTTTGCAAATAATTCTGCTTTTTGTTTATTAGTTCTTGCCCACGTTCCATTATCAGTTCTGAGAGGTGGACTTTGAATAATAGGACGTTTGAGCTTTCTTGGCGGTTAACTCAGTAAGGTATTTCTTGACCGATTCTTCCATTATCTTCTTTATTATTACAATTTTCTTATTTCACCAATATTTCGCTTTATATTAAAGCTTCCTCAAGGGCGAGGTTACAAATTGCGATGAAACAAGCAAAACACAAAATTTTATGCGAACAATTCGACATGTTGTAACACGTGTGAAACAGCGAGAAGCGTCTATTATTGAATCTACTTTTATCGAATGGATGTCTTGTCTGATGCCATGTTCTAGCTTTTCTTTTTTCTGCAACTAGTTTTCTAATTTCTTGAGGGTAATTGTTGCCAGCAGTTTTACGTGTCAATTCTATTTTATTCCATACTGCAATATATCGTACAAAGTTATCCACTTCATTTCCCAGTTGTTCTTTAGTATTCAGTTGAACGCTCAACCGGATTTTTCCTTCAAGTTCCAATCTAAAGCTTTCAATACGTTGTACCATTCGTCAGGGTTGGTTTTCTTCCCTTTTTAATAATCTTTTCACTTAAAGTCAGTACCACTGCTGTACGAGCCGTAGCTAGGTCGTAGTTATCATGCATTCCAAAAAATTGGGTGAACATTTCTTTGATATAAAATAGTCCAATAAATTAGGTCTCTTATCCGCATCACTAGGCCAGTAGGTTGGGTTTCCTGATGAATGATAATTGGCTTGAATCTCTTGAATGGCTTTCAGTAGTTCTTTTGTAGTTGTGACTTCTGATCCCCATTCTGTGTTTTTTGCATTAAAATCGCCACCAAAGATTATTGATTTTCACATCAACTACACACATCTGTATTTCCTCCTTTTGCAGGGGGACTTCTTCGTGGTGTTCGATATTTTCTCTTATAATTATTGCGCTTCTCTTGCTTTATTGCTGGGGCGGTTAACGTGGTATGTTTTGTAAAATCTTATATTAATCGTTTGTTGTTTTGTGAGATGTGTTTCTGTAATGAGTAAAATATCAATCAAATTTTGTAATGATAAGAAAGCTGCAATTGTTTCTTTATGCGTTAGAACACTATTAGCATTCCAGGTGGCTATCCTAACATCTCGTAGCATTGTAGGATAGTGCAGCAGGTTTGGTGTAAATACTTTCTAGTTTTTCGAGTCTTTTTGGTTATTGTTTTCGTTATATTAGGAGTGTGATGTGCTGTAAGTACAGCTCTGTTTTGATCTTGTTTACCTGATGTTGTTTGGAATTGTATTGGAAGTGAATTGTCTAGGTCTAGGTTCTTGTGTATTTTGTTTAATAAGAATATTTCTTCTTTTTTGCAGTTCTTTATAGCTAGCTGGATGTTCTTCTGAACACTTACTACATTTTGGTTTTTCAGTTTTAGGTTTTTTGCATTCAACAGTAAGATGTTTACCAGCACATCTGACACATCGCTGACATCTTCGACATTGTGGAATTATTGCTTCTCAGTGGTTCTATCTGTACCACAGCATTATAGTATCTATCTAATAGCAAATATTTTTTTGTATTGTGGAAGGTAATCATAAATAGATTTAATAGCACTTATTGGAGAGTTTCACGTCTCTCATAGAAAGTAATTAAGTGTCAATTATTTAGAAAGTGATGTAAATGATTTAAGATAAAGGTTGTTCGTGGTAGGTAAATTTTTTCTTCATGTAGTAAGTTAATAGGTTGTTCTTTTCTCTTGTCTCAATAGGTGGTGGCGTTAAATCAATTTTATGAAAAAGAGATGCCGCCATCGATTGTGTGTTCTTATTAATCAGTGGTTTCGTGTTCTGGTCGCGAAGAGATTATATATCATCGCCCACGCGACGGTTCTTCGGCGTAACGTCGAGGGCGTGTTTCATCAATCGCGAGCGGAAATATTCGTTTTACGAGCGGCATAAATTTCTACGAACAATTCCCAGAGAGTCGGACCTAGTTCAAACGTTAAATTGCCTGTCGAGATTTATTAAAACGTTACTTTATATTTCTCTCCGGCTCCAAGAAGATTGTATAGCAGGACTATTAATCTTAAAAAAAATCTATGGTTCACATAAACATAAATGAGTGCTCAATATTTTATAATTCTTTCAATATTTACTTCTTTTTCTCTAATACATTAAAAAAAGATTGTAATTTTGTTGTAGTAAGCTGAGAACATGTTAAGGAGCGTTTACACTTTACCTTTAAAGGGAACTAACCATGTAGTGGAAGTGTAGGAAGTTGTAAGTAGGCAATGAAGCGTGTAATGGCTTTTTGGAACTGTTTTGTTGTTGAACATTTCAATCACATACTACAATAAAGAGTTTGAATTAATTATTTTTTTGTGAATACTCAAAATTGATAAATGAAGATTTTAACTCTTCAACGACCATAACTCTTGGGTCATTTGTCTGGGTAACACCCTGTCGTTAGCTCCACGCGGATCGCCGATGAAGACGCCCCGATAGTAGGACCATTTATCAACTAAACTGATGCTCGTTTAAGATATTTATGTCGTTGCTCGCACGTTTTCGGTTGTTATGGTGTGGCGAAAAAATAAAGCTTAATTATAAAGGAGCCGTTTCGCCGCTCTCTGATTAATCCGTCAAAACGTAAACCGGCCGGTTAATTGGTCCGGTTATTTCGGTGATAACGTCCAAGATAACGGACCGACTCGCGGACGTATTTATTGCGTCTCGCCGCCGAGGTCCGATTCGCGAAAGAAGGGAACTTCAGAATACTCTATTTCATCCTCTCAAGATGCTATTTATAAACCGCCGTCTGAGTGTCGCGCATCCGAGAATAAACGGACGCAAAAATCGCTTTCGAAATAACTTATCGGGACACCGCGAAGAGAAGAAAGGCGAATAATTTACTTTGGTATATGTAGATATAGTACTACTAAGAAAGGGGAATCGGTTCATTGTCTCGCGATCAGCGTGCTGTTGAGATGAAGTAGGAGTTGTATGCAAAACGCGGCGACAATTTATGTGGGCGGAAAAAAGGGTGGACCCTATGCGGTAAATAAATCATAACCCGATTATGCAAAAGCCAGATGTAATTGCCAGTTCGATTTATCAAATTTTTAAGTGCATTTGAACAATTGTTATTATCAACCTTGTACAATAGTTGTCCTGTCAGGAATTTAAAAGAATGTTGTGTGAATGAACATTGTGAACATTCGTCTTCATCATTTGCAAAACATCTCATTTTATTTGAATGGAATAGAAGATCTAATGAATAAGATCCCATTGGAATTTTATAGACAAAAATTTTTGAAATTCTTTTATGCCTCAAATTGAAGATTAAAGCTTCTACTTTAAGATGGTATATGATATGTGGGGTGTCTCATTAAGAATTTTTTTAGAAAAGAGTGTTTGAAAAAATGTTGCTGAAATTAGATTGTTTGAAAATGGCAAAAAAGTAAACATTTCAAAATAGCACTCCGACCGTATTTTTGGGACTTAGAAGATGGTTTATGTCTCAAATTGAA